ATCATTTCTGAATCTATTTTTAGATTTTGGTACTAATCGTTACACAAAAATTGAAAATCAAATTGCTCGTTCTGGTAATAAGATAATATGTTACAAAAATTTAATTACATAAAGTTTATGTATTATATATTCATATAAAACAAAAATCTCAATTTTTATAAAAAAATTTCAGAACCTCATTTTCCTAGCAAAGAACCCATATCCTGATACCTCATCATTCGACTGGTGATTCGCACTTTTAATCAGCGTTATTTTATTATGATATTTTAATATTTTCTTAACTTTTTACCATTCAGAGGTCAGATTGAGACAAATTTACCACCATTGGATTCCTCTTAATTATGTGGTTTGAATGGTGGTCTCAAAATTACTGTGTAGCATCTGTGTAATATGGTAGTTCAAGTATAATAGTAAGTATTATAAATTTTGTATAAAGATAATCATTTCTAAAAGTAATATAAAATCTCAATAATATAATAAAAAGACTATTATTTAAATCTCGTAATTGCAAGAAATCTAATAGTTGTAATTTTGTTTCAATACAAGCTTTGGTTAATGAGAAAATGAAGTTTAAACTTTTTATTTCAAATTTTCATACCAAATTCAACTTTAATGTAAAAATTATTAGTAGTATTTCTCTGTGATAATGTGGTATAACAAAATGCAATTATAATATTTAGCAGTTAAAAGTAAGTGGTTTTTTTTTTAAAAAAAATTGGAATTTATTATTATGTAGGATTTTGAGCATTTTAAAAAATCCATAGCAAATTATAATGCTTTAATTTCTATTAAATTTATAACTTTTTGGTTTTTTAGAAGGTAAAATAGGCGTAAAAACAATAATAAATTTTCATTTTTTTTATTGCTTTTTAAAATAGTATTCTAAAAATCCATTGGGCATTACAAGTTTTAATTTAAATAAGAAAATTCTGATCTCATATCCAAAATAACAAATGATATTTGCACCACCATTCTTTTTGCTGGGAATTGTATATAATAAAAGATCAAAAAAATTATATATATTTTTAATTACATAGCATTATTTTTACAAAATAATATAAATTTCAAAAAAGAAAGGTATTACTTAAAAGAGCACATGTTTATGAACAATTCACATAAAAGTTATTGTAGTTGTGCTTTTACTATAAAGTTGAATTCAATCATAATATGCTATTTTATTACTAATTAATCTATAGGTTGATGATCATTAACATTACAGAGTGAAAAATCTGCACTAATTAAATTTATATATAACATCATATATAATCGATCTACATAATGATTTGAAACACCCCAACGAACCATCCTAACTCATCTCCATTAATTGTGTATTTTTATGCTTCTCCATAAAATTAAACTCTCATTATCCACTAATAAACCCAGCCATAACAATCTAAAAATATCATACTATATATACATGCCACCCAAATTATTTTGGGCTGCCGTAATTATAAGTAAAATCCCAAATTCAATTATGATATCCCAAATTATTTTGGCACTTTACATAGTAAATTATATATAAATTAAATGAATTACGACATCCCAAATTATAATTATGACATTCCAAAATAATTTGGGCAGCATGTATAATACTATATTCAGTTTTTTCAATAATATAAATTATATGATCAAAGCCAAATTTAGCAATATGAGTTATATAGTAAATTAGTTTTTTTTTGGATAACTCTTAAAAATATCAAAATCAATATAAAATGCAATATGAAATTTATCTTCAATATCTTCAAATATATCAACTAATATGAAGATACTTTTGCAATACGATTGTGATTTATCTTATCCATCACAAGCCTGCATTTGAGGCAAATGTATCGTTCTTATACGATCAAGTGCTATATTCTTATATGACGTATATATCACATAATATAGGTCATATAAGATAGTATGTCGTACACGTATAAGAACGATACATTTGCGTATTTGAGACATGGATCTATTACTATCAGTTCTTGTTGATTCAAGATCTTGGGCTGAATATAACAAGGATACACATATACAAAATGACAAGTTTGATAGGTTTGATGGATTTGATAGGAGTTGAAGATTCCTATATATTACCTTGAATTGAACTGATTCTGTACAGAAAGAAATTAAAGTCTTTCTAGGAAAAAGCTTATTGACTGGATCAAATACATTTTAAGAAGTTTGATATAATGATTTTCTTTAGTATACAAGTATACATAAAAGATTACTCACAACAAGTTCTTGATCACAACTAATGTGGAATTTCTAAAAAAAAGAGTGTAAGTATTAGTTATTTACTAATCTAGTAGTATATAAATGGGTTATCATCTGAAGGATGATGACCCATTTATATACTAAACTAGATCACTTTTTTATCATCCTGGATATACTAATTGGTCCGCCAGTTTATAACTGGCGGAAAAAATCCTAAATACCAATTAGTAGCCAGGTGATAAATATTAATATCAATTTAATTTTGGTTAGAAGAAATTATATTTATAGAAACATTACAGGTTCTTCTTGATGATTGTCTTCTTCAATATCATCAACAATAAAGTTTTGTCATTTCTTGTTGTTCTTCTACTTCACACTTCCTCTTGGAATTCTTTAACAATACTTGGGGATTCTAAAATTTAAGGCTTCTGTAAATGGGTTAGTAACAGTAATTAAGATTATGTTTCAATAGGCACAATAAATTACCGAAGATGAAGCAGATGCTAGGAGTATTTACTGATCTTCAACTGTTAGTTGAACCTCCGTTTCAAATAATGATTTCTTTATAATTAATAATTCCTTCTTAGATCTTTCAGTGCCTGTCAAATTGTTTTTCTGTTACGTGAATATGCTAAATGGAAAGGCAGTTAACTATCAACAGACCTTTGCATCCATTCTCTTAATTCTATAAAGTTTCATAGCTTTATTTTTTGCGTTTTTTGATATCAATTGATGGTTCATCATTGAATGGATTTGACTTTTGTATTCATCTTGAATGTGTTGTTGATCTATCGTTCCTAGACGAGAACAATCATATCTTGCTAAAAATTCCATACATTTATAAAACACCAGTTCTTGTACGGTGTTTATTCAAAAATGTCACAAACAAATCTTTAAAAAAGTTTCTCAAACAAAATCTCTATCAAAAATGTTTCAAACAATATCCCTAACAAAAAATGTCCCAAATGAACCCTTAAAAATTTCACTTCGTCATTTCCCAGATTATAATCCTCCTAGTGGACATCTATGTCAATCTCTCCCCAAACATCGGCCATATGGACAGTGCAAGTTAGTTATCTTACAAGCAAGGTCATATGCACTGTAGGATATTGTATATGCAAAGTATTTAAAGGTAAAAATATATTAGGCTATGCAATAAAAATTTACCATTTTCTTATAAGCAACTGACTACGTTAGTAGATTACAACTAATATATAAATGGACACGCTTCCGGTAATTTTACTGGTTGAGAGTTTGAATGGCGCACCCATTAAGAAACCGTTTCTGATTCGAATAAGGACGGCCAATTTCTTCAGTTATATATCAAAATCGTTAATGCTGAAGAAAGTAATAAAACAAATGAACCAGGAAATTATTTTATACTATAATAACTTTGGGAAAGATCTGTTAAATTATTACAAAACTCTTCATCCGAAGCAGATCGCTAAAATGTTTGCTAATGAAGAGAAAAAAATAACGGAAGACTCCAAAAGAATAGCGAAAAAGCACGAAAGAATTGTGAATTATTTAATGTTAATGGAGGTACAACGTTCCGCGGTGGTTAAAATAAAAGGAATAAGTTAAAATAAGAGTAATAAGTTAAAATAAAAGGAATAACTGAATAGACGCTCATTAGCAATGAACAATAACGATTAAAAATTTATTATATATTCCGACACCGAAACTTTATTAATATTCATATAATTTATATCAGCAAAAAAAGCTATAAACGGTTACATAGATTATGATGTACAGTATGTAAAAGACAAAGCTAATCTGCATATTTTTTTGATCAAACATTAGTATTAAGCTAAAATATTAAAATTAAATCAAAATAAAATAAAATAAAATCTTAATTTGAAATACAAAATAAATGTAATAAAGATACAGCTAATCCAAGTATTCATCTATAAAATCAAATTCTTAAGTGGCGTCGTATTGTAGACTGAAGTTCCCAGAGATCTATATCGCATCCAAGATTAAAGTTTGGTGGGAGATTTCCCACTGGAACTCCGTCATATAATTCTGTCCCGGGAATATTCATTGTGTATATCGGAATACCAGCCGCATTACAGGGAGGAAAAGGAAGATTATGATTATTAGGATCAGGAATCCCAACACCAATATAATTAGCAATCGGTGTTCCCATATCCAGAAGAATAAAGTTCTCAATTTTTGAATCGAGATTTGCCGTTCCAAAGGAGATAACACTGGTTGGAACTAACGGATTGGGGCTTGTGCGAAGGAACAAGGCGGCAACTAGTGCGATAGTACGTGTGTTTGTGTTTGGGTCTGTACGAACTCCAAATATCTTGATGATCAACACAATCTGGATCGTAGTTCGTTGATTAAAATATTCAGCTACCGCTTTGTAAAGATCGGGAAGAGACTGTGAATAACCAACTTCTACTACCATCGTTGGATATGGTCCTCCTGTAGAATCAGCAGCTTGTGCAGGATTTGCTGGTGGGTTACGACGTCTTGCAAAGATCACACAATCAGGCTTTCTTGAACTGGTTGCGCTCAAAGTTAAATCTTGGTTGTCGCCATAATCAAAATCCTGACGATTCCATGCGCCCATTATTATCTTGATAGCTCCCGATGTATATGCATGAGGAGCTAATGGCACTTCATATGCCTTAATACTTCCATCACGTAAATACATACGAACTAAATTGGACTTATCCTCATTATTGTTAATATAACGTAAATAATTATCAAGCGAAACATTTTCTCGCAAAGTTATCTCTCTCGATCCTGTATATCCTTCTTCATTTTCTTCTGTCTCTTCTTCACCTTCTATATGGTCCTTTTGGAATCCGAGCAACTTTTCTCTTGCTGACTTAATAAGCGCAGAGGATAAATAAATCCTTTTCTCTTTTACAGACTGTCTATCAGCTTGGAAAGTAGCTGGGGGAATGAATTGAGTTGAACGAGACTGAGAACGCGTGACGCGTACAGACTGTCTATCACCCTGAGAAGCGGATTGAGTGGTTTGAGTGGTTTGAGTGGTTTGAGATTGAGATGTAGAACGCGTGACACGGTAAGAATAATGATCTCCTGTTTCTGAATCTGAAATTAACACTAGTTAATAGACTTTAATAGATTGGGAAACTGTTAATTACCTATAACCTTACCTGAAGTATTGTAAGGAGAAGCCATAATTTTGTGATTATTAAGAAAATTTAACTATTTCGTATATAAAAATATAAAAACGATTTGATCAGTAGATAAATGATTGATTGCTGCGCAATTTTCGCGTGAAGCGATGCGCAGTAAAGTTCGAATTTTTTGAATTTTTTTTTAAATAGTAACGCGCTTTATTAATAATATACAGTCTAAAACTAGATCTATAATTACTTACAAAAGCACTTAGGCAAAGAAAGAAAAAACTTTCTAAACCCTATAACTAAGTAATTTTCGAACTATTCTAATACATCTATAATTTAAAATCTAACTAAAAATTGTGTTTGATTAAAAATTAAAATTGTCTGTTTCTAATACTACGTTACTATTCTAATTTTACTATGTTTTTGTCATTTTCAAAATTTTCTTTTACAAATTAATTAAGCTAAACTAAAAATAAAATGAGCATTGTAAAAATAAAAATTTTCGAAAAAAATTTTGTACATCAAAAAAGTTCTAAATTGAAAAACTACACTAATTCTGAAAATCCTAGGAAATCGTTCGAAATTCTCTATTCGTCCGCAAGTCTTTGGCAAATCCAAATGCTGATCTCCAATTAGAACTTCTCGGGTTTGTAAATTCTTTTCTGGACAAATTTGTTTATTCGCTGTCGGATTCTTCCCTATGTCCTTGCGTTGTCACTACGCGTTTCTTATTTTTGTTATACTCTTCTTTATCTTCAGTTTTTGTTCTTTTCTCCTCTGGCAAGCGTTTATTCTTATCTAAATCCTCCAATCTTCCGCTAAAATTGTTATTGAGATCATCAAGCTCTCTATGTTCTTCTTCTGTCCTTGGTATTGTTGAAAGAAGTTCAGTTCTTGCGTCAACAAATTTATCTTTCGAAATTGTTTGTGTTGGCACTTTGAATCTGTTTATTCCTCTTTGTGGCTTGTACATCCCATTATCTCCGATCAATTCGTCTTGTAATTTTATTTTCAAACCTTTCCCTAAATCTTCCTCCATCGTTGATTTATAAATCGCTTTAAGTAGATCATTTTCGTTGTTAAAGTACATTAAAATATATTTGATCTTGTTTATTTTAATTACTTTTGCAAAATGTCTACCGAGGGCTGCGTTATAATCTTTAATTATCTCTTCATCTTTCTTATCTAATTCTTCCTTATCTAATTTCCTATACGCTTGCCATTCACATCTTTTTTTTATCGCTGAAGCATCTAATTTGGCGTCAAACATCCTAAAAAAGAAAGTCCGGTCGTTTCTTGTTATTGCTATATTGGATCCTCCTTTAAGGAATTTATCTTCCATTTCTTTTGTTAATCGGATCCTTGCTCGAACCGTCCTATACTTGTAATTCCATTTGACTTCCAATCTTTCTATATATCCAACTTTCTTCAACATTTCGTATATTGTTTCGTCTTTCCAGTAAGCAGGAAAATCGTAAAATTTTAAATCACGTGATCGTGCGGCAAAATGTTTATCCAGAAAATCATCATCCGAAGTTCCTTTGTACTCCTTATCCTATATGGAATAAATTTTTTTAAAAAAAATTTACAACTAGGAACATCAAAATGACTTTAACATTATTGTTACTTATACCCTACCGTTTTGACCTCTGTTTGATTTCTCTTCTTGAAAATTTATAAACAATATAGTTATTCTGTTTTTTTAAGAGAAAGAACCGTTCTTCATTGATTGCAAGATACTTACTAGTTCTTCTGTCAGTTTCGTATCTGGGGAAACTGCCATCTTATCATTTATGTTTTTAATCTTCATCGTTTCTCTATATAATCGTTTTCTTGACTCAACCTCACTCTAAAAAAAACATCTCAATTATATGAACTCTTGTCAATAAGTCATAACTTCATGAAAATCACTAATTACCTTCTTTATCATCGTTTGAAGCACATTCTGAATCTCGGGCCTTTTGATTGCCTTGTCAAAAGAGGAGTAAATGGAAAGAGCTTTTTGACGTGCGCAAACTAAATTGTTTCGATCATCGCTGATTGATTGGAGTTTCTTCTTTATATGATCAAGAATTGGTTCAATGTCATCAGCATTTACATCATTATTACTCGAAACCATCATTATTACTCGAAACAAAATCGAGACAGGCGGAAATCGACCATTCTGAATATACTTTTTTCTTAAAGAAGGAGGAGACAGCCTCCCAAAAAAAACAACAGAATAATTAGTGTTGATTTTATGTGCTTAAAAGAACTAGTTTAGTGTTAAAAAAATCGACAAGACAATATTATGGTCAAGAGTTCCTTAGCGTGGCTACACAGGAGGATTGTAGTGTCCTGCGAGGTGTCTAAGAAGTCTCTTTCCAAGCATCAGCTACATGTCGTCCACAAAAATGTGAAGGTGTAGAATATTGTTGTCCAGCATTCTGGTCAAGAGTTCCTTAGCGTGGCTGCACAGGAGGAATGTAGTGTCCGGCGAGGTGTCTAAGAAGTCTCTTTCCAAGCATCGGTCATATGTCGTCCACAGGGCCATACAAGCGTAGGAGCTGTTGATGCCCAGTGCTACAAACAATGATTACGTGCCTACTCACCTTGTTCGCCATAATAATAAAAGAAAGCAAATTCTAGTATTTTTTAGGTTGTTATATAATTACATAAGTAATAAAATTTAAAAAAAATATTTTTTACAGGTTAAAAGAAATTTGCGTTTATCAAATTATGCGTAATATTTTAACTTAGAGCTTAGATCCGGATTATCCGTTGAATATATCCGTTCACCTGTTTCTTTAAGCTAGTTTTTTTTTTTTTGAAATAGCTCGACTACTTATTCAAATCGGAACGTTAATTAAACTAATCTCATTCCAAAAAAATACATATGGATTAATATTAAGTAATATGCCATTGTTAAAATTTTATTACATCATATTTACATTATATTCAGTGAATATCCTATTTTCTTACGGATATATCCGTAACCCTAGGATATTCACTGAATAAGCCATTAGGATCATTCATCGGATCTAAGCTCTATTACCTATGCTCCTGCTCATAAGGTCTTTGCTTGGAATTTGACATTGAAATACAGTAAAATGCAACAGATCGCTTTAGTACTATGAATAACGGAAAATCTTATTATTGGCTATAAAAATTTGGGGTTATCTCAAAAATTTAGGGTTAGGGTGTAGATAAGCTAATGGGATAGACGTAGAAACTTCGTCATGTTGTTCCGAACCTTTGTATTTATTTTTATTGTGCCAATAAAAGTTCTTGCCGGAGCTATGTGACGCAATGCTCATATCACAATAGCATTTGGTTTAGACAATCCGAGCTCATCATATTTTGAAAGACTTAAACCTTCCACAGGATTATCTAGTGCGTCTAATAGTGCGTTGTGTTCTGATACTCTGAATGCATCAGATCTAGAAAATGCGTCGAAATAATCCTTTTTTTGCTTGCTCCCTCGTGCCATCACACTCTCCGGTTAATGTATTAATTCTTAGTCATAAACCATTTTCTACATCTACATTCCTAGCATAGTCACCTAATTGTTAACATGATCATTATTAAATATTTAAGAATCACTTTATCAATCTTATTAACATTGGAAAAAATTTTAGCTTCTGCAAAAATTATTATATATAATCGAAAAATTTACTAAAATTAAAGAACCCATATTCATATATGGCTGAACGATAATAAAAAATTACTTTTTTTGATCTCAATTTTATTTTTCTGCATTTTGCTATTAGTTGTACTTATGCAAATATATATATATATATTTTTTTTAACTATTTAAATAAAGTTATAATTCTTGATTTTTATAAGATATATTTACAGTATCATTAAATCCTATTCCTTTTACTCGTTTCTTTCTATTCCATGCACCATCACCATACATCCCATCCCATTTTCTTAGTTCTATTAAACTTGACATATCTTCTGAACACGAAGGTGTTACTTGTTTAAGCGCCACTTGAAAATGATGTTCTTTTAGAACTCTAACATGTAATGATTGTTCTGTATTATTTTTTTTCAAATCATCATTATTTTTGTCTATTTTATTAACATTATTAATAACTCTAGCCTTTTCACTCTCAGCATCTTCACGAACTGCAGCCAGAGCAGCGCTTATACATAAATTTTTCAAATCTGATCCGGAATAAAATTTGGTGGACCTAGCAAGATGGTTCAATGATATTAACGAATCAAGCTTTTCATCGCGAAGGTGCAAATTAAGTATCTGCTCACGATCTTTTTCATTTGGCAAATCAACTATAACCAATTTTATAATTATTATGTTAATAAGTAAGTCTCGAAATATTCATCTGATAGGAAAATTTTGTGATATACCTAATATTCTCCTTGGCATTCTTCTTAAAATGGCATCATCTAAATCAAATGGTCTATTTGTTGCACCCATAATCAATACCCCATCATTACGTGATGTTAAACCATCCCACTCGGTCATAAATTGATTTATTATTTCCCGATGTGCACCATTATGAATGTCTGAGTGTCTAGAGCCAAAAATAGCATCCAATTCATCCAAAAAAATAACACATGGAGATAATTTACGAGCAAGGGAGAAAATTGCCTGTCAAATAAAATATCAGCAAACAAGTATATATAAATAGATTTTATATTAAGGGTAAATATATTGAATACGAATTCATACCCGGACATTCTTTTCACCTTCACCAACATACATGTCGTATACATCACTAGATTTAATATCTATTACTGTGCTACCACTTTCTTTAGCGACAGCTTTTGCAAGCATGGTCTTTCCTGTGCCTGGTGGACCAAATAATAATACACCAGAAATAAAATGTTTACTCAAGACACCATAGGAAAATGATTGCGGTCGCATTAAGGGCAGAGTAATCAATGTTTGAAGAGTTTGAACAATTGATTGAGCCACATGAATATCCGAGAATCCAACTAATATATTTTCTACAATAAGATTTGACAAATTAACATTTTAATTATTCACTCCTTATAAGTTTTCTTCAATAATTTACCTGGATCTACAACACAAGTCAGAAGTTTTTTTTCATATTTATCCAAGTCTTCTTTCCTTAGATTTTTTCGGTTCATTAAATTAATCTTACCATCACCAATTCCTTCGATGCTAACCAATTTTTCAGGACACTTACTCATGGAATTATTATTAGTCGTAGCAGACTCAACAAAATCTTTACGTAACTTCTGGTTAGTTTTTAAAATATTTGAAGCTTGAATAAAATGTTCAACGTCCAAATAAATTGAATCGTTTGATGGCGAAATGTTTTGATTAGAAAGGGCAATACCGATAGAATTTATTACCAAATGATGAACGCGTTCAAATCCCCAAACATCATTATCTATGCCTTCTAAAGGCGTAAATAGGTTTGCTAATTCCTTAATGTTATCAGTTTTAAAATACGCCCCTTTACTGGCACAAATAGCTTTTAATGTGCGTACATTAATATGTCTTATTGCGATATTCTTGTCATGTGCTATCATTTTTTGTAAATTTTGAGCCTGTTCACTTGAAAATGGTGGTAGAATAGTTATATGTGTGAATGCTGCTAACATTGCTGGATTAGGAAATGTTTCAATGCTAACCCATTGGATTTCGTGAGAAGGTACATTGGAATTTATCATAGACTTTTTATCCATAGCTAATAACGATGGAGAATAACCTGCAATAATCATGATTTGTTTTCCTAAATGTCTTTGATTCTGTACAGCCTCGACCAAGCCATTAATTAACGCGGTACAAAAAGTAGTTGGAACTAAATCTCCAACATCCCGAAAATATATTATTTTGGGGGATGACGATGAGTTGGATGATGATGGAGGTGATGCCGAAACTAAAGTTTCAAAAAATTGATCAATTTTGTCTAGGATTTCTTTCATTTCTGCTCGTAGAGACCCATTAGCTTGAGATGAATTATATTGAAAATTGTCAACCAAAGTTTTATTTTCATAAGCAGAATTACGGGATATTGAAGGTGACAATTCAAAACCTTCTTCTTCCTCCATAAATACATCATCCTCCAGTTCATTATCGGAAGAAAATGAAGAGGCTGTTGAATAGGGTGATGCTGCAATGTATGGATTAAAGCCTTTTAACTCAGAAAATAATGGCCATGGTGTTACTAAAAAAATTATTTTAAAACATTATACTGTGAGTGCTTTGATCTTAACATATACATTTGATCAGCCGAAATCATCTCACCATTACCCTTCCGTGAAAACATATTGGCTGTCAATTCCATTAAATCTTGGCGATCAAATATTAATAAATCAGCACGTAAAGATGCTGCGATACTTTTGACAATCGAATCTAAATAAAATGATGCTCCTTCCATAGGGCAATTTAATAGTAAATGGCCTCTTCTAGTAGGTACAGTATTACTCTTTGGAATTGGTAGCAGATTTGCACGTGCACTGAACAAAATTTCATCACGTATCCCATTATCCAAAGGATAAGGTAATGATTCAAAAGAATTGTTGTTATCTTTAAATGATAAATAGTTTTCTTTTAAGAACAATGGAGGTATTACTGGTTTATATGGACTTATAGTTTTTCGTAAACGTGAACGTAATTTTGGAAATGCTGTACGTAGTTTTCTTGGAGATCTGAGTAAATATTCTCCAACATTTTCTGCTCCTGTTTCAGAAAGTTGTGTTATACTTTCCTCTACTTGTTGTCTATTTTCAGCTTCATCGTGATTGGACGCTGAAACGGGTATTTCTTTTGCATTCGAAGAAGAAAAGCTACTTATATTATTGTCCTTGACAGGTTTCAACGGTGAACTACTATTATTCGGCAAATCATTGGGTGAGGTTGAAAAAGTCCTTGGAATAGTAGTTATACGAGTTATACGTTTAAAAAACTTTATTGAGCAAGCTGTTTTTTGTCTATTTACTATAAGTGCACATTGAAAGGTTCTACCAGTTAAACTTCCAAGCATTCTTGATTGTTGCTAGAAACTTTCAAAAAAAAATATAGACAATCTTTAGGCATTACGTAAATATATAAAATTACGTTACACTAATAACACTATGCAAACCCGTTTTAAAAAATTTTTTTTTTAATATATAAAATTCCCGGTACAAGTATACTGTATACCACAGATATCGTATGACTGCATGAGTTGATATTTAATAATGCATCGCGTAACTTTTGCTGTTTGCATCACCTTTTGTAAAATAATATACTAATCTACGAGCCACTTTTCGATTGACACTTAGACAAAAGTTATATCGTACTTAGATCCGATTTCTACCGAAAGAGAGCATAGGTAAAAATGGTCGGCAATTTCACCTGACTTGCTAGATCTTCCTCATCTTCCTCAGTAATATTATTCATCACCGGCATCACTCCCCACCGCGCACAACCATGTCACCGGTCACGTGGGGTGAAATTTTGTATTTATTTCATGGGGAGTTGGAAATAAATGGGTAATCCGTACCAGAGTGGTGCTTAGGGCGGTTTGATTATAGCGTAGTATTAGATAGCGTTTGACTTTTGTTTTATCTTTTGTTCTTGTCTATCTTTCTGTAATCTTGTTCACATGGATATTAAAAATAAAATAAATGGGTCCCTAGTGACCTTACAAAAATTTTTTATAACTACATTAATAACAAAAAACTATGGTTTTCGCTTTTCATTAAATTTATAATACCCTTCCTTTATGGAGAAAATTAATTCGTTAATTTGGAATCGCCGTAATACCCATGTTAAAGATTGGGAACGGGCTTTATCCATTACTAAAAACAAAAAAAGATTCTATAGACGACAACATTCGAATACTGTTGATGCACCACCAGTTCAAGACAATTTTACCGATCCGCAACCACGACGAGTTTATACACATCGCCGTATTGTCTCTTCTCCTTATTCTCGGGAAGGAGGTTTTTATAATGATCGTGCCCACATCAAGTAACTTTTTACATTCAGGACATTGGACCAGTCATCGTGATAATTTTTGGTTCGATAATATAGATTTATTTTCTTTTTTAAATAATAATTTTTTAGGAAATCTCATACTAGATACAGTACATAGTTTTTTTTTATGTTCTCATTTTTTTTATTTTTTCCCGATTGGTAGATGGGTTCTGGGACGATCTTGGATCCGACCCGTTCTCATTCTTTTCTTAAAGGTCAGGAATCGTCGCCTTTGGGCGGCTTGATTGTTAGTGATAGAATTACTTTCGACTCATTTGTATGGTGTCCTTGTAATTTTTACTTCAATTTGGTTTTTCTGTAACATAAAAATAAAAATAAAAAAAATAAATGGGTAATCCCCTGGAGCGTGTCACTCATTAAATATTAACTAATTTAACTATTTTAAACTAAAATTAGTAATTTCCCGGCTATCTATATGAGACCGGGAAATAAATAACTAAACGAAGATTGGTCATTTATAAACTCAGCTAATCACTCGCAATTTTTAAAAATTAGTATGAAGGTGATAAGGTGATCATGAGTGACACTTAGTGCGACAGGGCATAAATTGGTGGTGTTACTACGGTAAATCACTTGCTAGCAAATAATTTTCTGTCACGTGATAATAAATTTATGTATTTTTTATAACCTGTACAATGATTTTTTTTTTTACGTTTTAGAATTAGTGCCTTCAATTTTTTCATTCTACTTCCTGTTCTATTTCGGTTGGGTTATAGAATAGTTTTTTCTTTTAATTCTAGCCAGGGCTTGATTTATTGGGCGATGATTCTACATTGTGTATTTTTATAATTTTCTAGTTTGTTAAAATTACCAAATTATCAATGTATTCTCCTGGCTTTATACCTTAAAATAAATAAATAAATAAACAATAATTTTTTTTTTTGTTACCTGCAGCACATTTAGTAATTTATTAAATAAAAAAATAAGTAGTACAAATAAATATACTATAAGAACTAAAATTCTATTTTAATTAAGTATAAATTAAAAGTTTTTTATTAATAATTAGCGAATTTGAGATCGAAAAATAGTATTATTTTAATTAAAATCATTTTGCCGTTTTCAAAAATGTGTACAATTTGACATGTCTCAGTTAAAACTTTATTTATTTCAATCATTTTTTTCTAAAGAAATATCAAGATCTTGAGATTACGTTTGTAAAAATATCGATCTTTCACACATGGATGATCGAATCGCTCTTTGCATACCGTGGATCGATATCAAACCCAAACTTTCTGAGAATATTATCTTATTGAATGTTAAATAAAGCACAGAGTATTTTGCAAAAAGCATCTGTATTCCGATTACTGATTACTGTGTACAGTGCACCATTCTTGTACAGAAGTTAGCATACATATATTTTTATTTTTCCAAATTCAAGTAAAACAAATGATTATATTACAGATAAAAATATACATGACAATTTTTGTAACATCTGAATCGCAATGCACTTAATTAAAGCTTTAACTATTCAATAAGACCTATTTCTTGCAAATTAAAATATGTATCTTAAAACAATCAGTCAATAATTCTTGCTGTTTGAAATCGCTTCTATGTTGGGATTCCTAAATCTCACAAAACCGTAATAATAGTAAGTTCAATTCGGCTGTATTTTCTGATGGGAGCCCCAAGACTAAATTAATTATTACTACAATTTTTCTTTTGAGGAGGTGAGGCTTCTGCATTTGCAATCATGGTATTATCATTATCAATTTGCAAAGGATCACTTGTAATATACGTCAATATACTATTAAAACTTGAAGTAATCAAGTCCTAATATAAAATCATTAATTACATTAGTACCACACTACCACTGTATGTTGTACAAAATAGCCTGTGCAAAACAGTTACCCGCAACATCCATAAGTTTGAAGCAAAAATTGGCAACTCTTTGAAAAGTAAGAATGCAATTGTTGGATAGGAGAACATCATCTCGAGTTTGAAATAGTAAATTCCAGCAAATGGCAGCACATACTATATACATATAAGTTGTGATCTACAAGAATTTATGAATGGAAAAACATAAGTATACATCGTAGTAAATTTATCTATTCAGCTCATAAAATTTACCATATATTTGTACACCGTACACTTTATCCTCCTAAATTTTTCGAAGTCGCCTGAGTATTTGATGTATACATAATTCAAGATAATTTTAAGCATCTTTGCTGTTTTATTTCGATCCCCCACGTAATGGATATGATCAGGTTTTGATGGACTTCCTGAGACTTCCAAGGTCGAGAACTCTAAACCAATATCCAAAATTGACATTATTGCATCGATTTTATTCCCAGAACACCGTCTATTATCATCTTTTAGTGAACGGTTGAGTAGAATAGCAGAACAACGCAAGGTCTTTTCACCCCTGTTGAAACATCAACCGTGTATAATGAATGACTAACGGGTATGAAAAAAAAGCCATTACCTAACACATCAAAACTATTTTAACTTACCAGTAACATTTCAAAAGTGGTTTATCTTTAATTAACATTATATAGACGCGAGAGACATATCTGATAATATAATCATATTCGGTTTGCTCTTCTTTTGAAGAAATTTCTACTATTTGGGAACTGTTCCCGGCTATGATAACACAAAAGTTCAACGAGTTCAATGTTAGCACAAATTCGATTGCAAAACAGAAATTATACAGGATATTTACTATATTTCATCAACTCCAAAGACAGCTTCTTCCATCTTATATTTCCCTCTTTGCGTAACTTTTCACATTCTGTCTTTATCGCATCACATAATCCTTTCACGGTGTTCTGACAAAATAAACATAAATGGTCCCAGGAATTTTTTTCTCAATATTGGCTTATAAAAAACCAACAGCAAATCAAAATTCACTAAACATCCCTACCACATTTTTCGATATTTTTGTTAAATATTGCCTGACGTCTTCCGCCCGACCATCTTGATCAGCTAAGGAAATGGAGTCAGAATCTGACGCTAGCATAATTTTATTTGGCTCAGACATCAAAAACTTCTCAATAGTGCTTATGATATTGTCCCACTGATATTTGAAGAGCTCTCGGGCTTTTGTCCCGGATGAACTGTTTGTGTCTATGATGTTGTAACGCATTAAGCTGTAAAATAAAGTTTTCATTAAAATTAATATCTATTGCGTATAACCATATAACAGGAACGATAAAAACAATTATACATACTCTTGTTTATGTATTTCATCGATATATTTTGTAGATTTGCGCCATCTTTCCATTGTTGACCGGATACATATATTGTTAATAATTAATTTAAAATCAACAGGCGCGCCAGAATTTTCTTGTAAAAGGTTGTCTTCTCATCATCATGGTCATTATTCCCCTCAACATGTACCGGGGAAAAAAATTTGTCTATTTTCGAGTCTGTTATCAAGTCTGTTTTCGTCCTTTTTGTTTGATTTTTATACTCGCCCTAAAAGATTGAAATACAATATGGTTAGTTCTGCTGATTCTCGACTACTAGCTAAAAAAAGACACATACCTCTGGTCGATCTCTTTTTTTTTGGTACACATTTTGTATTGAAAATCACCTTGAAAATAGGCTTCTTGTTGTCCTTCTAACCCTAACCCTAACCCGGGAACTTTACTAGTTATATTTCCAACTCCATTTACTATAGTCTATAGACCCATTTAAGTTCCCCTTAATTGATTGGTGAATGTTAATCTGCCTCTGTGAGCGCTTTTTCTCCCAATCATTTGCTTTCTTACGGTCAGGACCCTAGCATAAAAATTCTGGAATTAGTAACAATCCTTGACTAACATTTTCAATCCCACCAGAACATCAGCCTGCCTAGAAAGCCAACTGTTGTCCCAGTGAGTCCAGTACTGGATCGGCTAGAAACCTTTTGCATCAGATAACCTAGAAAGCCATCTGTGCGTCAATACTGGTTTCGTGGCTCGGCTAAAAACCTTGAATGACCGGCAACCTAGAAAGCCTCCGTTCACACCACTTTTTCATTGATTCAATAAAAATTAAATTTTCACTTGCCTTTTTAAAACAGATGAGAAGCAATTGTGCTCTTTCAGTCCTTTCTCCTTGTTGATTGTTAGCGATTTTCTCGAGACCTTTTGTATATTTGTCTACCTTTGCATCAAACGGTTCAGTATCGCACTCGTTTAGAAAGTCAATAAAGTTCCAATTCGTAGGATTCTTTTTAAAATATTCGTGAATACCGGACATGACTAATATATGTATTAGTCACTTTGTTGAAACGAATAATCGATAATGTAACGATGTAACGTCAAATGTTGCCAAGAAAAACTTACAAAGAAATTATACAAAAAAAGGCCGAAACACTCGGATTTTACGTGTTCATATGTGTACTTTGTGATTTTTTCTGAATAGTTAGTACTCCTATCCTTTCTATACACTATATATATATTATTTTAATACAATCCATCAACACTATATACATAAATTCTCGCCGTAGTTACTTTTTCACCGAATGATATTGCTTGTGTGTTGCTAAATCCTTCACCAATTCGCATCTTTATCTCACCAACGACAACAACATTTAATGGATCTAAAGTTGAATCTCTTTGAATGAAGACAAAATCCAGTTTTCGAGTTCCCAATAATGGCCAAGCATGTGTGTCTTTAACAATAAGCTTGTTGTTTAAAGTGCCAAACTTCTCTAGTGTATTCTTGTATTTCATCTACTGCAACTTTGTTGGCGAAATTGAAAACTTTCCGGGACCTTTTGCTTTAATAGTATCGATCAATTTTAATGGAAAGTCAATGTCAGGACCTTGTTACGCCGCATCATCATATCGGATAACGTTGAATAACCTAAACACAAATTATTAATGGCGTTTGCAGAAACGGTTGATTTGATCGGATTAATAACATACCTTGTGAACACATGCTTCCTTCCAACAAATAACGTAATTTCTTAATTTCCACGATTTATTCTTCTTTGAAGACTTTGAATAATACCCCTCTTCAAAGAAGAAAAATTGTCTGTTCAAGGAAGAGTTTAACATTATTGGTTAGGAAATGGAAAAGAGATATCACCAGTGTGTATGTCAACAAAAAGACAATGTTATATTCGCCAACAATATCAAATACTTTCTTAATGTTTTGCTTCTTTTCCTGCATCTTATCGTCAAACTCGCCCAAAAAACACATTCGCGTTATCGTAGAGAGTCGTAATAAGTTTTGTCAACGCGAGTGAACGTTATCTTGTCTGATTTCAGAACTAACGTACTTCGATTATATGTAACATACCAGAAACTAATAACTTTCTCAGATATTTAACCCTGAGATTCTTCCAGATTAGATATCTTGTTAGGATTGTTGGTGATATAAACCAGTAAGTCTCTAAATTCATCCTCTGTAATTCCAGATTCTAGGAGGAGAAGGCGGTTAAGTTCTCGACGAACATTGGTTGCAGCAGAGGTAGAACCATAGAAGTCGAGGTAGAAGCAGAGGTCAAAGACAGTTAAACGCGAATATGTTACTTTATTTGATTTAAATAATGTATTATATTATTTTGTACGATAAATCCCGAAAGAAAGAATTTTTTTTTTTTTGTATTGTATATGTATGAAATCGTCAGTCGCACAGATGATCTGATGATTAGCTAATCAGTTACGCGTGACAAGGCTTGGGAAGAAAATTGATAGTAGTAATGTGTGTAATATCTTTTATGAACCATTACAGGTAAGACAATATTTCGTTCCATTTCTAAGCTTGGATTGAGGTTTTGCTAACATACTTATCATAGTTTTTGATAATTGCCATGGTTCAATTGGCTCATGTCCGGTTTCTTTTTCATATTTTTCGTACAAATCTTAACTGCAAAATAATATTCATTATTATGTAAAGATTACATATCATAATATTCCCTCGGACGTTACTTTTTTGGTATTTGTGTACGACTTATACAGTATGTCTATATTAATAGTATTTCATGGACTCGTATTCAAACTATATAACAAATTAAGTATTTAATAAAAATCATGTGAATATTTTTTATTGATTATTACTAGAAAAATCCATCATTTAATTATTGATCAGGCACTTACGTGACATTCAATCGAAAACAGCACGTTATTTCCTATTATACCGTAATTATTTAGAAAATTATTTTAATTCAAAATCAACTATTTTAAAAACAAGATCTGCGCCTTTTTTGTAAACCTAATGATTGGGGTAATATTAGTTCTAGATAAATACTGTATGAAATTAAAGTTTTCCCAAATTATAATCCCCGATAACATGTAAAGATTATGTGTAACCCGGCAACTCATCTGTGAAACAAGTATTAATTAAATTAAGAATCATAATTTATAATGAAAATGAAGTAAAAAAAGGAGGATGTCGATCTCAATGTGATTTTTACTATATACACAATATAGGATTTGATGAACATGAATGATTATTATAAAAATGTAAAAAAAAATGTATATATATATATTACTAATATTTCATATTTCAAAAAAAAAATAAAAATAAAAATAAAAAAATAAAGAAGAGAAGAAAGAAAAAATTATAATTGAACGATGTGGAATCTGCTTTTATTATTAATAACAATTGCTCTTTCTTCTTTGATACATCCCGTAAATTCAATATGTATGGATCATGATCCAATAAATTTAAACAAGTTATTAATAGTAGATTGCGCACCTAAAGTACCTAAAGCACCTAAACAACAAAATAATAATAATAATAGTTTTCAATTAAATGATGAAAAATTATTTCAAATAAATTTTAATTGTCAAATAACAGATAATAATATGTGTAATAAAGTTGAAGACATATTTAATATGGCAGGGGATATTGTCACCTATGCTCTTGCGCTCAATACACCTATAATCGTTAATGCTAAATTTTACGTTATGGATCCAAAAGAATTAGGAGGGGCAACACCAACTAGATATATTTCATTATTAGATGAAGATGATCAAGTAGAAAGATTTTATCCACAAGCATTGGTAAAACAATTACAATTAACATCACCTGTAACATTCTCATATTCAGAATCAGATATAACAGCAGAATTTAATTCTTTGATAAATTGGCATTTTCCTGATGATAAAGGATCAATAAAAAAGGATCAATATGACATTTTATATACGATTCTACATGAAATTATTCATGGTTTAGGTTTTATATCAAGTTGGAGGGGTTTGGGTTTAGATACACCAGAAAAAGAATTAACTCCTTTTCTTGTAACTGGTTCAGATGATACTTCAATTACTTCATATGATATAGCAGAATCTCCATTTATTTTTCATGGATTTCGCGAAACTATATTTGATAAATTTATCATAATTAAGGATAGTAATGGTATACAAACGAGATTATCATCATTCGCCAATGAATTAAATCAATTTAATACTAGTGCAAGTCAATTTATTGATTTTTATGATCAATTACAAAATACTCCACAATATGAGGCAGCTAAAGATGTATTAATTTTTAGTACGACAAAAAATGATTTTATATTCATGCCTAAAGGTAGTAATAGTATTCCAGATGATGGAATTATATTAGAAACGAAGATAAAACCTTATCAAGCGGGTTCTTCTATATCTCATGTAGATTCTATTATTTATAATATTGGTAATCCGGATTTTTTAATGAGACGTGAAAGTATTTTAGGTGAATCACTTAATGATTTAGTTATTAAAAGTGGTAATATTACTGGAAGTGCTATCGGTCCAAAGTTACTTAATATCTTAAGTTCAATCGGATATAATTTAGCCGATAATCCGATTAAATCTTCTGCAACAAAACAATCGATAGTAGATTTTAATTTAATAATAACTTTATGCATAATATTTATAACATTGAACATCTAACGCTAATAAAATTTTATTATCAAATTTCATTATTTTTGCATTTTTTTTTTTTTAAAAAAAAAAAAAAAATATGCAAAACTAAATTGTTATTTCTAAATAAGGATTTGGTCGATTGTTACGTGGTATATAGACTTTTTACATGATTCGGTTATTATTTACAACCAAAATATGAAATTATTTTTGCTGTACTTATAATAAATGAATTTTTATTAAACTCAATAAATTAATAATAAATATTACTTTGAAATTTGTTTTATAAGTTTTAATACCACCAGATTTTTCGTTACTTCCTTTACCATTATTTGTACTTGAGTCACCCGGTTCTATTGGTATACTCATAGTTGGATTAAAATCATTTCCATTTCCAATTATCGTGACACTTGGCTTATATGGGTTAGTATATTCTGGTGTGGAATATCTTATATGAATATTAAAAAAAAAAGAAAAAAAGATATTAGAAAAACGTGTAATAATTTTAATATCAACCCCCGTATTATCATGATTAAAATGCTTACCCCAATGTTTCCAATACTAGTTTTAGATTAGGTCCTATAATAGCATTATAACCTGCATTATTATTTCCATTATGTGAAGTAATCAAACTATCTAAATTAGCTCCATGATCCGCTAAAAATTTCATAAGGAAATCACTCGTATTATTATATTTTTTAAAATCCACATGACTTATGCTCGAACCTGTTTGATAAGGTTGTAATCTAGTCTCCAAAACAACTGATTCAATGGCTTTTGTAGTCCCTCTAGGTAAAAATCCCAATACATTCGGTGTAATAGAATAACTCATCATTTTTTCTGCTATTTTATATTGAGGTGAATTACGAAATTTTGTTACAAAATCTATATCATTTTCAAAAATTATACCAACTTCTTTTTGAAATTTATTTATATCTCCTGTTAATGCTGATATTTTTTTTCCTGTTGGTATATGAATTAAATATCTATCAAATGCTGATTCTAAAAATCCATTAAATTTAAATTGTTCTGATGGATCTTTACCAGTTATTAAAATTTCTGGTGTTAATGCTTTAGGTTGATCATTCATATAATCTTCCCATCCTGACGCAAATCCTAATCCATGTACAATCTCATGTAAAACTACATATAAAAAATCCTGTTGATTACGTGTTATTGGAGGATCTCCTTCAAACCAAAAACTTGTTCCTCCAGCATTAAACAATGCCATTATATCGAAAGGTCCATATGAAGGATGTTGTTTAAATTGAAATTGTTTTACTAATGCTTGTGGATATAATCTAACTAATCCATCATCATCTTGTAATGGAATCGTTCTAGCTGGTGTCGCTCCTCCTAATATTATAAGTCCATCTCCCTTTGGACATTCTCCTAACGAAGTACAAAAATCTAAGAAACTTGCATTTAATTGTATTGGTGTATTAATTAATAAAACAGATGATAATATTTTACCAGCTGTTTCAAATGCATTTTTCGCTTTATTACAAAGAATATCGTTTTTTATTCCACAATTGAATGTTAATACAATCATATTTTCATTATTTGGTTGTGTTAATTGTGATAATGAATCAAATTTAACGGAATTTTGTTGTAATGGGCATTCTACTGGTATCTTGTATGATTTTTTTAAAGGATTTGGGTAATCAAAACATTGTGATAATGTACCGAGAACATTTAAGGTTATTATTAATAAAATTATCATTAATAAACATATTTTCATATTTTTCAATGTCTGATTACTTTATGTATAAAAGGAAATGAGTGAATTATTATTATTATTTTTTTTTTTGTTTTTTTTTTTAATGTCGAAGATAATGAAAGTATGGATAAATTGAAGAATTGAATAAAAGGAGTGAAAAGAATGAAAAAAAGAGAGGATGAAGAAGAAAAGGAATGTCAGACAGTTAGACCAATAAAATATTAAATAATAATAATGTTAGTAACGATTCAATTAAACTTCCTTCTATTTGTAAAAGAAGTCGAGCTTGATTCGTGTTTGCTATGCATTTCATGGTCTTACAAAAAATAATAAAAATAATTAGATTATGAATTACCATTTCCATGCGTTTTTTTTTTTTTTGATTGTTACCTATGTTACCTTTGTGAAATCTTCAGAATTACACCAATTAATCTACAGAGCATTCTTGTGATCAATTAACATAATTATAACGATCAATTATGCGTCTCGATGATCCCTCTTGTATGGCATCACACGTTTATCGAATATATTGGAGAAGGTTTATATGGAAGTGGATGATCTCTCGTAGCATAACTAATAAATAATAATAATAATAATAATAATAAATTTTTTAACAAATTAAAGTTATATATGTACAATATATATGTACAAATCAATGTATTTACCCTAAAGTTTCCAAGATTAATTTTAATTGAGGACCGATTGGACCACCAGAATAATCTCCACTTTTATCAAGTTGATATTGTATCGACCTTCCAGCAACAACACCAGGTCTCATTAAAAAATCTTTGGTTCTCGTGTATGTAGAAAATTGTAAATGATTTAAACTTGATCTTGAAAAAGGATTCAAACTTGTTTCTAACGTAATATTTTTTTTATCATGTGATTTAAATATAAGAGTACTCGGTTTACAAGCCAATTTATACAAATATTGAGCCACATAATATTCTGAAGATTCTTTAAAATAATTATATATTTCTTCATAAATTGAAAAGGTTTTTTTGGGAGAAAATTTTTGTAATTGAGGAGTGATTACATCTGACAGTCTCTCATTAGTAGATTTAAAATATATGTATTTATCAAAAACTTTTTCAATAAATCCATTAAATATATAAAGATTTTCAATAGAATTATTATCATTTTTAATTATTAAATTATTTGATAAAATTTTTGGTGTTAAAGCTTTATGAATTTTATCATTCCAGGCTGAAAGAAATCCTAATCCATGAATAAATTCATGAAGAACTACGTAAAGAAAATCAATTTGATTTTTTCCAATCGTTGAATTATCTTCAATAAACCAATAATCTATTTTGGAATTAAATCTGGCTCTAATATCAAACTCTCCATATTCAGGATGTTGTTTGAAACGAAATTGTTTAACTAATGATTGTGGATATAATCGATCAACTCCATCATCATCCCTTAATATTATTGATCTTGCAGGTCCCGCTGCTCCCATTATTCTACGAAATGGCGTATTTTTACATCGTTCTTTATCCGTTTCACATAAATCTATGAATGTTGCATTCACATTTATTTTTGTATTAAGAATTAATGTCTCTGATATTATTTGTCCAGCTATTTCAAATGTTTTTTTGGCTTTATCACAAAGTACCAAATCCTTATTATCGCAATGAAATGTTATATTAAACATATTTTCATCATAATTTATAGGAGCTTTTTGAGAGGTTTGAGGGTCTTGTTGTGATGAATTGTTAGTATATGAACATGGTATTCGTTCTACGTGAAAATAATTAAACGGATCAGGATGTTCGTAACAAATTGCTTTTACAAAGTCAAATAAAATTATCACAAAAAATAGAAAGGAGAGATTGATATGTAAATGAAAGTTCATTATGTTTCATATTATCTCATATTATTACCAAAACCGAACCGAAGACTTTTATATTAAAAAGAAAAAAAAAGGCTGTGTTATTTAATAATAATAATCGGGATTTCCATTTGAGGCTAAACCAAAAATTCTGATTGGCTGAAAATTTTATACTTTGTCATCAACCTGTCTCAAGCACATGGTCTAGACTTCAGGGGTGATAAAACAATATCAAAGTTTATTTTTTTTTATGCCTAATTGCCAAAATAAATAATTTTTCCGTTCTTTAATTACCCGGACATTCCTTCGAAATATTATTAATATAGCGGACTCTATATAGTTATTACATTTTAAGCAGCGATTACGAGTTAAAAGTTATTTTGTTTTCCTTTTTTTTTTTTTTTAATCATTCTTAATCTTCTATCTCTTATGTAGAATCAGATAATCAATAATTTATCGAATAAATTTTAAGTTTGTTCTATAATAAATAATAGAAATTTAAAATAAATATAATAAACTGAATATCTTTCTTTAAAAAACCTCCGTAAAAATTGTAAAGTTAATACTCACATTGGTTACATTTTAATAAGTTAATTATCATGGATTTCTCTGAACAAGTTAACAATTTGTTATGTGAAATGACTCGACGCGCAGCTTCCCAATCATGTTGTTTATTACCATAACTTGCCACATCACAAGCCTCTCTAACAGCTAGTGCTACTATAAGAGTTCTATTTCTTTCCTCGTATGTAAAATTTTCTTCAATTTGGTTTTGATTATTATCACCATTATTATTTTGATTTGTTTCTTGATATAATTCCATTAACTAAAATAACTTTAATAAAAATGTTGAATTTTATTTATTGATTTTTTTTTAAAAAAAAATTTCCACAAGGGGTATATACGGTAAAATATGTGAGGAAGAAAACGTATATTTATTATATTTCAATTTTAAGCATAATGGCGTTTCGATTATACTATTTCTAGATTTTTGTAATTGATATTGCAGGCTTGCAGCCAATCACATGAAAGTACAGAATTCTTGGTAAAGTTCTTTCTTAATGAAATTTTAATTAAAATAAAGAAATAAAAGCATAAAGATTATCCATCTTTATTATTTATCAATTCGCCTACTCATTTATAAGAAAAAAAATGAATTATCACGTGACCTGAACTCTAGTTAAAGAGGAGAGTTATACAGTGCTTTATTACAAATTGATAAATTGATTGTATTACCCCTGTTGTAAATTGACAATAATGGGAAGGATTTTCGACATAAAAAATACTGCTTTCCCTTCGATCACAATCCTGTTAATGATGCACAATCTTCTTTAATAATTTAAATAATGTTCAATACGGATAAAAACTATTTTCTAATGAGTCTGATGAAATCCGAATCAAACCGCAAGAACCCGGATCGAACATTAAATGTAATTTTGGAATAATAAAAAATTAATCTGTACCATGCATAGTAACCTCCCTTTACAAATCGTCATGACGTCATCTTTTATAAAAAATGATTAAATTTTTTACAAGGTAGAAATTGTGAATAAATTCAAGAATGCCATTTTTTTATCGGTTATTAGACATAGGGTCGCATTTCATTTCTCCCGACAATCATTTCACCGACAAGGGAATTTAGAATTAAGGTTAGGATTAGGTAAGGAAATTAGAGTTAGTATTAGGGTAGGATAAGGTTAGGGCTACCCTATAAAAAATTTTTCAGGATCACATGTCTGAGTTTCTTCGGAATAAAATGATCATTTATCGGAGTTTTTTCCAGAATTTTTTTTTATAGGGATAAGTGGATGAAATAATAATTGTCGGTTGTCACGGACTCACGGGGTGGCACGTTGCGCCACTACAATTTTTGGATATATGCCACAATAAGCTGGTGATACCCGAAATAAAAAAGATAGTCTTTAATCATTAATTCGGTTATACCATCTGGTATCCTTATACATCGAACAATATAACTTTCAGAATATTTATATGTTTAAAGTATTTTATAATTTCCAACCTTTTTTTTTCCTAATTCCTTTCCTTCATCAATTAATTAATTACAAATTTTTTCTTGAATATATCATATCGAAAAATGATGAATTCATTAAAATTCATAATATCTTTGATTTTTTTTGTCGTAATAATAATTTTTCCTAATAAAACTATTTCAATAAAATGTTTTAATCATCCAGATTTTTTCGAATTTTATAAAAGAAATCCTATAAATTATGAATTTATTAAAAAAAGATCATTAAAAACAAAAAGAACGTCATTTAATAATAATAATAATAATTTTCAAATAGAATTCACATGTGGAATTGATGATAAAATACTTTGTGATAAAGCTAGAAAAGGGTTTGAATCTGCTGGTCAGATAATTACTTCAACTATATCATTTAGGAACCCTGTAATAGTTAATGCATCATTTTATAATTTTTGTAAAACCGATAATCAATGTTCTTCTAGTAATGATAATAATATGGTAGCTGGTAAGTAAATTAAAAATAAAAAATAAAAATAAAAATAAAAACAAATACTAATAAATATTAATAACTATTGTAGGTGGAGCAAATCCAACAAAAACGATAGCATTAACAGATAATGATGGAATTGTAAGATATTACCCACAAGCTTTGGTTAAACAATTACCATTTGAACGTTATCCAGATTTTGAACCTTTTGATATCTCAGCAAAATTTAATTCTGAAGTAAATTATTGGTTTGAAGGAGATAAATTACCAATAAAATCTGATCAAACGGATTTCATATTAATAATTTTACATGAATTTATTCATGGATTAGGATTTGTTTCTAGTTGGAATGATTTTTTTAATTTTGCAAATCCACAAGGATTGACTCCAGTTCCAAGCGCCGATAATTTGAATTCGGGAATGTCATTTAACGGCTTCATTGAAAATATATTTGATAAATATTTGATATTTTTACCTTCAGGGGAATATGTATCAAATGTTGCCGCTAAAATTAATACAATAGTAAATGAAAAAGGAAAATTTTACCAAACTCCAGAGAATTTTATTACGACATTTAAATCTTCTTCTCAATATCAACAATCGGAAATGATGTTAAAAGCTGCTACAACATCTTTTTCTTTAGGATTTTTACCTAATAACACGAATAATTTAAGCGAAGCAATTATACTTGAGACCACATTAAATCCTTTTAGAACGGGATCAAGTCTCGGTCATTTTGATCTTAAAACTTATATGAATACCTCCGATTTTTTGATGACTTATATACAAGATCCAGGAATGACACTTGGTGATTATATGTCAATTAGTGGTAATTATACTGGTGGTCCAATTGGTCCAAAATTAAGACAAATTTTGGGGACAATGGGGTAAATATACGATTATATTCGTTATTATATATATATTATCATTATTATTATCAACGTTAATACTTTTTAA